TATATATATATATATATATATATAAATAAATAAAACAAACAATGTGGGTCCTCATTTTACAGTACCAACCTCAGAAGGAAGGAAGGCTGAGTCAATCTTCAGCCAGTCAGGATCAAACCCCTGGCAGTCAGCAGAATTAGCCTGCAAATACTGCATTCTAACCACTGCTCCACCGTGGCTCTTCACTTTGAAATATAAATAAATTAAAACCAAAAATTAAAACCTTAAGGACGCATGGGAAGGATGGGAGTGCAATGGGGAAGGTGGGATATGATGTTACTCCATCAACCACCTCCACTGTGTTGATCCCCATAAGTCAAATATCTGAGTAATGAGAAGATGTTAATAGTGATAAGTCTTTGATTTAGCCATCCAGACTAGCAAGATATTAATGCAGCTAAAATTCTGGAGAAATGTGCTTCTAGGACCTGATATCATTTGGATGTTTGTACATCCAAATTTTTTGAAGTTTCTAAGATGCCTCACAGACAGACTTGAAGAAATTCATTATAATCTGGAAGAGTGTAATAACAAATGAATATTCAATATTTCTTATCCCTAATCCTTGATAATTTAGGAGTAGGATATGAAATCTCAAACCCACAGTCTAGATTGGAATATCACACACACACACACACACACACACACACACACACACACCAAAAAAACTTGGAAGAAGTTCATGAAAAATTTCATCTGCATTTCTGCAAAAAACCCAAAACCTCTTTGTGGATTGCCATGTAGTCAAAAGACACTGGGCTCTACTGACAGAGTCTTTTACCTTAATACAATATTTTTCAAATTCAGTAATTCTAGTAACTTTATGTGGACTAGCTGGGGAATTCTGGGAGTTGAAGTACACTTAAAATTGAGATTGAAGTTGAGAAACACTGAGGTTAAGAAACATTGTAATAATAATAATAATACCACCTTATCTGCTGTCAGTGCCTTTTTAATCCAATTTTTATGTACACAGAGTTTTGTCATAGAGCTTTCCCTGAGGCTATGCAGAAAGCATAAAAAGGTTTGTCACTGGTTCAAACAATGTTCTGTCTGCAATGCGGATGATATTTACTGACAGGGATTCCACCTTCCCCCTCAACCTACCATACCATATAGCTAATTAAATCTGATCCTTTCTGTTATTAATGCAGTAGTTTTTACATTGAATATTTTGGAAATTCACATTCAGATTTTCAATTTCTTTGCATCTTATTTGGCCATTCTTCTTACTGAGCTAAAACAATTTTTTTTTCTTCCATGTATGAATTTCTTTTGCCCTAAAGATACCATGCTATGTTATCTTTGGGGGAGAAATAATTTTTAAAAATGTGACTGAGCGCACCCTTTGGTAACTTTTTGCTTTTCCTATCTCTGCAGATAAATCTCCTCATTTCTTGAGGCTGGGGGATGTAGAGGTCAATGCAGGTCAGAATGCAACATTTCAGTGCATTGCTACAGGAAGGGATGCAGTGAAGAACAAGTTATGGCTGCAGGTAAGGCTTATCCTGACCCATTAATGGTCAGACCCTTCTGATAAAAACAAAATGTCCAGTTCCTCAAAGATTTGTGTATGACAGACATCTGACAGGAAATCATTGTTATTTATTATATCTATTCCAATTTTTTTAGCATCAGTTTTAGCATCAGTTTGCTGCAAGGACTGTTTAACTGTCACCTTCCTCTATCTGGTGTGCACATATGGAATTTTAGTTCCCATTCTGTAGAAGAGGCAAGAGGAATGATGGAGAAAACCTCACTACTCCATATCCTCTTTTTCTGTGGGATTCATTCTTTTAAGTTGCAAGCTGGTAAATTCTGTGTAGGTTAGTGTATCGTTGGTAGGCTGGCCTTCATAAAATCAAGCTGATAACATATTGTCAGAAAGCTAGCCCCACATATAGTTCTGACTGAGGAACAGATCATGGTACACCTTCTTCCATACTGCAAAATGGTGTGATTGACGATTCAGTTATACGTTCAGAACTGGCAATGGGACAGCATTCTCTAGTACATCTGAAAGCAACAGCCTACTTCAGGGAACAATGAGAAAGGCATTTGACAGGCACATATCTGTGAACTGGGGCACAGCAGCTGCCATTTCTGATTATGATTATTTATTATCACTATTAACAGGGATATACGCCATCTTTATTTTATACATTTCAAGGCAAAATTGTGAGGTGGGCTTTTGTGCCTAAGGGAAGGCTGGAACTTACGGTCTCACAGTTTCTGTTCCAGTACATTAATCACTTCATAGATGAGGCCAGTTCAGCTGTGCATATTTATAATGTGATAACTTAACCATACAGGATAGGCTCCTGTATGAAAGTAAGATATAATGCAATTTGTTGAGGAATATGATTTAATAGGACACATAAATTCACATATTACAGCTTAGTATTATGCGCAAGCTAGGACATTGTGACTTGTTTAACAAATCTTGGTTTAACTTGTCTTTGTTTAAAAATAGTAAGGTAACTGAAAATAATTCCATTCAAATCTTGCAAATACAGAGTAGTGTAAACAATTAATAGAAGCAGCCCAAGTGCTGAGTAGTCAGTGTCTCTGAACTTCACACGCTTCTATGAAAACAAAGCATTCTTACAGCATTCTGTTTTTCAGGACTGTTCATTGGTACTGCATTGCATGATATCTCATTTAATTAATCCAAGAGCTCAGCCTTGAGCTTTAATTTAAAAATATACATGCAGTCGAAATTTTTAAATCCTAGAATTAAAGCAATAAGAGAAAAAAAGCCTAAGAGAAAGAATTAATTGGCTATTTAAGCAAAATACAGAATAGCAGACATTATTTTAATGGTTTTTATATGGTTCACTGGCAGACATATCAAGAAAGTGGAGTCATAACTGAATTTTGAGCATCTTCAAAGGTAATGAGGATTTGCCAAAACTGCCACTTGTAGTCAGTGAAAAATCTCCTTTAAATCATCATTACTTGGCAATTACTGCTTTGAGTAATTCCTTTTCCAAGGAAGAGGATAAAGTGACTTATTCTTGTACATCTGCATCCATATCTCTTAACTCTTTCACTATCTGGAAGCATTCTGCTTACCAGTTTAGTGAGATTGTTATGTAAAGAAATTCATAGTTTTTAGGCATTTCAAAAAGTTTGAAATACTTACAACTTGCATGCTCCAGATATGAGTTATATGGATTGAGTAAACAGTCCACCAATTGCTCAGGGGGATTTAAATTACTTGGCATTAACCTCCACATTGACCCACAAGGAAGATATCCCAGAATTTAAGATGAGAATCTCAAGATGAAGTAATTAGTTAACAAAATCCATAGGAAAATCTTGTCCCATGCTTAGCTTCTCCCATGTTGGCTGAAACCAATCTGAAGATTCTGTATAGATATGCATGCATAATAGGGACATTCAACACATACCATTATTATTCCAGGAACAGAGTATTGCCACAACACCAGAACATTCCATTATTTACTTAAGCCATTTTTACCAGATGTTTTGGAGGGAGGCGAAACATTTTCTGGAGATAAATTTTCCTCAGAAAGAAGCAGGTTTAAGATGGGTCAATATACACCACTTCCTATTTTGGAAGATTTACTTTGATGATCTCTGGAATAGTTGAATCAGTATGGTCCAAGTGAAACATTTCTGCCCCCAAGGCAGTGTCCTAGGACCAACTCTTTTCATACTCTACATAAATGATCTCTGTGATCATATCAAGAGCAACTGTGTTCTCTTCGCTGATGATGTAAAGCTATTCAACACCACAGACAATACTGCTACCCTTCAAAAAGACCTTGACTATATATCAGAATGATAAAACAAATGGCAACTTCAAATCTCAACAAATAAATGCTCTGTCCTACATATTGGCAAAAAAAATCAGAAAATAAAATACAGGCTGAATAGTCAAGACATTGTTGATGATTCAAACTCTATCAAGGATCTTGGAGTACTCATCTCTAATGATCTAAGTGGTAGAGCCCACTGTAACTACAAAGCCAAAAAGGCGTTAAGAGTTGTTAACCTAATTTTACGTAGCTTTTTCTCTGGTAATATTACACTACTAACTAGAGCATACAAAACATTTTCTAGACCAATACTTGAATACAGCTCATCAGTCTGGAACCCACATTACGTATCTGATATTAACAGTTGAGAAAGTCCAGAAATATTTCACAAGAAGAGTTCTCCACTCCTCTACTCATTGCAGAATACCTTATGCCACCAGACTCGAAATTCTAGACCTAGAAAACCTAGAACTATGCCGCCTTCGGTCCAATCTAAGTATAGTATATAAAATCATATATTGCAATGTCCTACCTGTCAATGAATACTTCAGTTTAAACCATAACAACACTAGAGCAAACAATAGATACAAACTCAAGTTTAATCGCACCAAACTTGATTGCAAGAAATACAACTTCAGCAACAGAGTGGTCAATGTCTGGAATACTCTACCTGACTCTGTGGTTTCTTTCCCAAACCCCAAAAACTTTAACCTTAGACTGTCTACTGTTGACCTCACCCCTTTCCTAAGAGGTCTGTATGGAGCATGCATAAGCACACCAACGTGCCTACCGTCCATGTCCTATTGTTTCTTTTATTTTTATTTTCTTATATGTATCCATGTATTCATAACTAGGTTTTTACTTATATCTATTATTTTGTAAGCAATTGACAAAAATAAATAAACAAACAAACAAACAAACACATAAATAAATATGAGTTTTTACTTATGTCTATATACTGGGTGGCTTGAATGTGTGTGTGTGTGTGTGTGTGTATACACACACATTTGAATTTGAATTGAATTTTGAATATGAATTTGAATTTTTTTTATCTTTATTGTCATTGCATTCCATGAATACAATGAAATTTGAAAGTTACTCCAGCACAGTGCCCCAAGCACTACATCACAATCACACTGCAAGTATTTAAAAATTAAAATAATTAAAATAATAATAAACCTCCCCCATGCAACAAGACTCAGACACATATATCACCAGAAACACACACCAAACCAGAGAGCAAAAAGCTGCAGCAGCTGAGTGTGCCATCATATTCTTTCAGAATAAAATGCATGTATATTTGCCAGATGTCATGTTACAAAAAAGGGCAAGGCCTGGACAATATATATCAGCAATGTCTTTTAATTATACATTGACCTCTATGAGACTACATCACAATTTCCTTCTTTCTATGAGCCTTTCTGATCTTTAAACCCAGAAATTGTGTTCATTTTCCTCTCTTTTTTTCTAGCAAAAGTCCATAAGCATTTTCTAACCATTAAGAATTTAGATAGAAATTTTAGAATTGTATATTTATTGCCTGAGAATTGGCATGTTCGTTTTATCCCAATTCATTCATTTTCTAAAGAATTAAAATCCTTAAGTGAGAAGTACAGACATTGTGCAGTTGAGAATGCACTTCTAAGGTCAGAGTTGGTGACTGATGTCTTAATTCTCCCTCCCTCTCCCTCTCTTTCTCTCTCCCTCCCTCCCTCCCTCACACACAGAGAAGGAAAGGAACACATACACACAAACAGAGAGAGGGGGGAAATGATTTTGTCTCTGTGTGTGTATATGTATGTATAGATAGATAAGTAGGTAGATAGATAGATAGATAGATAGATAGATAGATAGATAGATAGATACACATACACTCACTCACTCACTCTCACACACACACACACACAATAGTAAAGTGAAGGGAAATCATTGTTTCACTTAGGATTGGTTTTGAGGAATGAGGTAGTGGTGGGTTTTCCTGATACCATTTGTGATTCATAATACAATACTCTAATATGCAATGCTACCAGGTCATATTGCCAGAATGGAGCTTGTGTACCTGAATTCCAGTTGCTGAATTCTATCTAAGAAACTTTTTGAGAAGATAGTACTAAGAAATTCCTTTGCCCTTTTTGGTTTTTTTCCCATCCTGTTTCCCAAAGCTTTTCAGCATGAAACTGCTGGAAGAAGTCAACCATACACTTGTTATTTGAAAGAATAATTGCCTAGGATTACAACTCTTACTCAAGAATATTGCCTTATTTCAAGTCATTCCACATCCTTCATTGAAAACGTATATATTTTCAGACATAGCTGTGCAGTTCTAAGTATTTTGGGGCTTTTTAGCTTTATGTCTTATATAGCAAATATTGGATCACTTGACCATGTCTTACTTTGAATTTCAAATATGTGTGAGTTCTACCAATGAATTGCTTTCTTCCATTATGCTCTTCTAGGGCAATAAATGTAGGGTCATGGCTACAGTTTCTCCACACAAAATAACATTTTGACAATGATCCAGCTGTCTGTGGGGGAATCACAAATTTGAGTAGAAAGTCGCAAGTCTCACTTGGCTTAGACAAATGAACTTCTCTTCCTCAAATGCAGTTAAGCTTTCAGTGGTGGGAGGAAAATAAACAGTCTGACAAAGTATTTGGGGGTTAGAGCATGGTCACCTGTAATATCAATTTGTGTAGTATTTTTGCTCTTATCTTCCATCCTTCTATAAAACCCTGATCACAACGTGTGTTGCTGCTGCTGATCCTGAACAGGGTTTGCTCATAAGGTATTCTTCATTGGCTGAAACCTACTTCTCGATATTCTTCTTGGCTTGCTGCTTAGCATAGCCTAAGTCTGCCTGGCTATCCCTTTGCTCTGTGTGAATGCCATCTCCTTTCATTGGCTAGTGCCTATCCTGAAGTGCCTTCCAGTGGAGAGAATAGTTTGTACAGATCTTGTGGAACTACCAACTCATAAAGGGCCAGGGTTATTCTTAACATAATGGGTATGTTGACCCTGACAGATTATAATACCTCTTTTCTGCCTGCTTCTAAGATGCTGTTTCACAGACAGCAATGTTTTCCTGCATTCTATTTAAATTCTGGCTTTGCTGGGTGCAAGCACAGCCTTTAAATGCTTGAAGTTGAAATTTGGATATTAGCCTAGAAAGGACATTGCATGTACCAAAGTCCCTGAGCCAGGTTGTGCCTGGAACTTCTGGGCTCTGGCCTAAAGGGAACTGAGAAGATTTCAACCAGATTCCTTATGTCCATTGACTGATTTCACACAACATGTCACACAATTCAAGACGTAGCAGCTGAAAGCACACAACAGGGAAATATACTGCATATTAAATTATTACCTGAGAGAAATGAGTGAATCCAGCCTGTTTATCTATCCATTCAGCTAGTTTATACTTCAGTACATTGTGCAATTCCAGGAAATGGATTTCTAGTAAGAGATTAAGTGTTGTATAAACATATCCTTTATTGCCATTCAGAAGCTCTCCTGCCTAAAACCAGTTATTGCTCCAGGGATCCCATAATACTTTTGAATGAAGGATGTGACTCTTCCCCAATTTTGTGGTCCTTCAGTTCCTTTTAATAGAGATCTTGAGCATAAGCCAAATAAGAATCTTTAAGAAGCCAGAGATGGATTGGGTATGAGGGAAATTGTTTCCATGGTAGAGTGGAAAAGAGGCACTTCTGTAACTACAAAAGCTGTGCTTTACTGACAGAGAAGCAACAAGCAAATTCAGTACTCCACCTGGGTGCGCACAATCTTTATTGGGAAGGCAATGCATACCTGGACCAATTTCTTGCTTAAAAAGAACCAGCAGGCAGGAGCACCCTCCTAAGCAATTAGTCCTGGTCTGTTTGGATAGGCAGGTGGCAGAATGGAGAGTGGAGTTCTTATGGTGGATTTTCCATATGCATTGTTTTTATTTAATTGATTGATTGATTATCCTATAGGCCATATCAATGTACAGGTTCAAACACATATTGCCAAAAAAATTATAAACAAACAATTTAAAAGAGTAGGGTAAAATACAATAGTTACAGGCTAAAATATAATAATTTGATACATAAATATGTAAAATAGGATAAAATGACATAAAATTATGATTTTCCATATGCAAAGGGACCATAGAATGATGATGAACATATTCAATGTTAAATGGTGGCACATTATTAAAATATTGGAGCATATCAGTTTTACTCATGGGGGAGTCATACACATTCTTTAATCATGGGGAGGGGTTCTGTATTTGAATACCTTTGCTTTAGTGTAAGTCTAGCCAAGGATCTGCCAGACATTTTTTGAATATGACCTGGCATCTAATTTTTGGACAAGTTGATTTTGATTGATGTAAACTGAAGTCTGGTTTTGTGAATTCTTTTCATTTTCTGTAGCACTTTTCTTGAATTCTTGAAGTCAGTGAATAATCAAAAAGCTTGTTCTGTCCTGTGATTTATTCAGTGAATATACCAGAGGTAGTATTCAGCAGGTTCTGACCAGTTCTGGAGAACTGGTAGCGGGAATTTTGAGTAGTTCAGAGAACCAGCTAATATCACCTC